GGTGGCGCGGTGGCGCGGTGGCGCGGTGGCGCGGTGGCGCGGTGGCGGGCAGAGTCATAGTCCATCCGGTTCAAGGAGGGTCCAGCGCTGTTGATCTTATATAAGGGCTTTTCAATGCAGGGGCCAACAAAATCCACGGTTCATCCGTTTTTGCGAAAACCAGACCTGGTTCCATGTTGTGTCCTATCGGTGGTATATGTTGCCATGTTCTATATATCTACAGGACGACTACACGTGAAAATCGGCAGAGGATGTTCAGCTTCACCCCCGGTGATCCAGAGCGTTCCATGCTGACGAGATGAAAACCACCCACACTCATCCAAGCTCAACCACGCTCATTTCTCTGGAATGTCGGTCAATCCACCAGCCCACGACTCAAAGAGAAACCAAACAGCCAGGCTGGGTCTTCACAGGATCTTCTCACTACCCTTCGACCCATCTGTTCGACCCATCCAGATCCAATTCTTGATGTCTCTATAGACCGGGCTTCGTCCTGTCACAAACACTGACCCCTAGGTTAAGCATTTGCCACCTCTTGGATCTGAGTGGGCGTACCAATCCCCCAAAAAGGTTTTGGATGTTGATAAGTTTTATCCCCTTTTCCTGGGTTTTGAGGGCTCTTTCGTTGATCTTAAAGTTCGTAGAAACACGTCTTTCACCCAGTGGATGCCAGGCGAGGCTGGATTCAGCACACACCCCAGGCTTCCCACCCCCATGAAAGAAATATAAAACGAAAGCCAAGATCCTTGCGGCGAAATAACAAATGGATGTGAAATGCATTGAAGTTGTGAAGTTGTCCACCTTTTTGAGGTGTTTCTGGCTGTGTTGATCCAGGCCCCCCCCCCCAGTTTGACAGCATAGCATGCGCTGCTGATCATCCGCACCACACGCACGAGACCCCAAAATCGATCAATTCAGGGGTAACCATCCCACATAGCGCCCACCACATGTTCTCGAAACGCGCCACGTTGGATTCGACCGAATTCTCTACGCCTCTACGGTTTTTCACGAACGAGAACCACCGTTCCACACCTTCGTGCAAGTGCGGATGCCGATGTTCTAGTGATCGAAAAACGGTCCTTCTCAACACCTTCCCGCATCCATCCCCTGTCGGCCGTCCGCCCTTCCAGTGCAAACGACCGATATCAAACCCACATCGATGATTCAACATGAAAGCGAATGTCCGTGCGAACCCTGCCTTCGCTTGATTCGGCGCAAATGGACTGCCACATCGCCCACTTCCGATACCCAAAGGTCACAAAGTCACATCAAAGCCGACCACGACCCGCCCCAAGAGCCTCAAAGCAGACTTGACATTCCCCCTCCACCTGGGAGCGCCGGGGAGCGGAGGACGCCCCCCGGCGTCGTATCGATCCGCGCCGGAGCGGAGTGAGAAAGATCCAGATCTCGAGGTGCATACGTTTCATCCCAGAGTTCAATGGACACCCAAGACCCCGCGAAACCACCCACCCAAGACACGCATGTGGAGCAACCTCAAGGAGTTCTTCCGAACATGTTTCCCGGATTCTCGGATGCCTATTGACTACTGAGTAACTGGTCTTCTCTTCTCTATCCGTAAGATCAGTGCAGGAGCAAGTATGAAAAGACACCCTCTAAATTAAATTGGTTCTTCGATCTTCAACAATCTTGAGATTCCGCCTCACCTACTCCACCTTTGTTTGGAACCAAAACGACATTTTTAAAAAAATACAATTAAATTAATAATCATAATAGCAATAATATGTAATCTTAAAAAAAAAAAAAACAACGCCCCCAAACCTCCCCAACCCCTCTCCCCTATCACATCCTAATTACCCCCCCTTCCCTCTCCTATACCTTAAGCTTATCATAGCACATCATCCAAAACGCCCATCCTCCGGACGCCGACCGGCACCGCCCTCCGCCTCGGGCACCTCCCTGGAGCCACTCCGCCCGAAAAGCGACAAGGGTGAGGTCTCCTCACCCGACGGGGGCGAGCCGGGAAGCCCGCGCGGCGTGCGGTTTGGAAGGGGTTTGGGACACTCTAGTCCTCTTCAGAAACCCCTTTTGTTCACGAAAGAAGAGGAGTTTGGTTGACAAACGAAACTTCTTCAGCTACGTCCCCTCACAACTCGGTCCCCCCCGACCGAGGGGCGCACAGCGGTTCCGAAAAGGTGAACATGAAGGGTCATGTGATGTGGAGAGAAAAGGGTATATAGTGGTCCCCTTACATAGATGACCGTGGCACCCTTGGCCAATACATGTTCGACGTGGGGATCTACGAACTTCTATCTATTTTTCAGGGGGTCTATATATGCATATATATAATATATATATATATGATATATGCATGTCACATGTCTATGGTTTGGATCTATCCTGTTACCAGGGCCCAGTGGATGAAGATGGTTAGCTTGCAGGCCTTTCTCTATAATAAGTGGTAATTGTTTACTGACTGTTACCGGTAGGTCCGGACAGACCCCAATCCATGGTCTATTGTAATGCAAAAAGAACTGTGCGTCATCTGAGTGCAACTATGAGGATCTATGAAGGTCTACACCTCGAATTTGCCGGGCTCGGGCTGTGTAGGGTCGTGCTGAGTCTTTGGCCTGATCTCTTCCTTACGCACGTCGTCTGAGCGCAAGTCAGTCAGGACACATGAGAACATCTGGTTTTTCAGCCTCTTAGCCGCAGAGGAAGAGTTCAAAAAAAAATCCCTAGATGTACGCAAATCCTCATAGCGGTTCTGAGGAGTGCAAAGCTTCCCCGGAGTGGTGACGTCGCAGGCGGCGCCAGCAAGAGTTTTCAGCAGCCCAATCAAAGGAGTTTCGCCCAGATCTGTGGTGGTTTGATCATATGTAGCCCCAGCTTGCGCACTACTTCCACTACTTCCACTCCTCAGCGTAGTGCAAATGAGTTGCACCCGACCCAGCCGTAGTGGCTCGACCCAGCCACCGGACCCAGCTCGACCCAGCCAGCAAATGCATCACATCCAGAAGTCTGGCCGCGCACCGATGATTACTGATACATGAATCGTCGTATGCCGCTCCAGCCTTCAGCAACGGTCCGCGCACCAAGTCCCCACATGTTGGTGCCACTCCTTTGCATTGGGCATCTGATGCAGCCCAGTGCAAAGGAGTTGCACCAGCCTCTGCAGCCGATTGCAGCTGGGGTCTGCGCACCACCTGGTGTCAACTTCTTCGAGGTGCCACATGCAAAGCTGCATAGTTCTCCAATGCTGCAGAGTCTGCAGTGTTGATGCAACCTCTTCAACTTCTTGAAGGTCTCCTTCCTGACAAGCGTCAAGGACTTCCTCATCTCCTTCTTGGTCTGGTAGTAGGAAGGCCAGCTTGACCATCTTCAGCACCAGTGGCGGAACAATCACCACATCGTCACCAACCTCCAGATGTTCTTCTGCTTGCAAGAGCCGCAGTCGAAACCTTGATCCAAATCCTCGAGACATAAGTTCCAGTTTCAGTGCTTTGATGGTGTTGCCCCGTTCTTCCACCAGAGCTTGCAACTCCTCGTCGTGGAAGACCACTGCATCTTCACCGGATGCTGCCCAAAGCACGCGCAGCGCCATCTACACAATCTCTGCGGCAATGGATATGCGTGTGACGGCGTGTGACAACTTCGAAATGGTGGAGACCTGGAATACGTCTCCTTCACCTCTCATGACTTCATTTCTATCCTGACGTGACTTTGTCGTGTATTGTGTCGTCCAATGACACTTGGATACTTAGAGCCTTGGACCTTTGAATGCCCTGAGCACTGCAATCAAGAAGCTGAGGGTGATCCCCCAAAAAAGGATTGCCCTCCAAAGAAGCATTTGATCAGTCACCGGATTTGTTGGGTCCACTAAATGTGTCTTTGTTCAATGTCCTCCACGGCGGGAGCCTAGTGGAAGCCGAGACCCAGTTGAACCCAACCCTGGGACCCCCAGAACACCGACACGCACAGACTCCCCGAACTCCGACACCACCGCGAACCTCTTTGAGGATCACCGGCGCCGCCATCCGCGGGTGCCCGACGCCAACGCCCGGAGCCCGGCGCGGAATCGACTGTCGGCTCTGAAAGGGGCCGATGCGGAATCGATGTCTTTGAGTTGCTCAGAAGTTCGGGGGAGGAGCTTCTCTATATGTGTTTCATCCTCATAGCATCGGTAAACATACCAAATCAAGTACAAAGTAATTATGGTAGTTCGAGCGCGGCCGAAAGGGCAGGCTCTGTTAAAGTGGAAGATCTGAATTTAGGTAGGGGAGTGGGTTGAATTCAGGTGTTCAGAAGAAGGAAGGAAGCTCTCTGTTCTCCAACCCGAGCTGGTGGGCCTCCATGTTTCTTGAGGCTGATGCAACATTGCAATATCGGAAGTAAAAACTCTACTGTGTGTGATTGTAAGAAGAATCACTGAGATATGTGGCTGGAGCCCAAAGGAAGCATGTTCTGCGGCTGGAACACACAATCTCCACCTCTAAAGCAATTGTCAATGGCTGGAGAACTAGATCCTCCAGACACTGTGGAGAATGTTCTGGGCCTCCTTGCGGTTTGAAGTTGTCCATCAACAGCTCAAGATTCAATCAATTATCAAGTCTAAGACGTCAAGGGCATCTTCTGAGGCAACTACTATTTTCTCAAGACCAAAACCAACATGTCAAATGAATATTGTCTTCCAAACTCACGCCGTGTCCCACTTGTCTTTCGAAAGAGTTCTTCAGTTGGAAAGCCTATTTAAGCAAGTCCATCGGGCTGCCAGCCTTTTTGAGGCGTCACCTACAGCCGGCCACCCACCTCCAACGCGCTATCCTCACCGTGTGAAATCATCACCCAGTTGCTTCGCCCCCCGAAACGCCCCACATGGCAGATCATGGCTTCGCCCAGCCCCACCTCACCACACCCACGGGGAGACCGCAAACGACGCCGCTTCGTCCGCGACCGAGGTCGTCCGGGCGACCGACGTCCGCCGCAGCTTTTCGCTTCGCTCCGCTTCGGAGCGTGGCTCGACCGGCTCCGGTGGGACCATCGCGTCGCGCTGCGGCGCCTGGAGAACGAGGCGGTGTCCGGAGTAGTTCCGGGGCGTCCGTTCCGGGGCGTCGTACGTGAAGCGGAGGACATCTGAGACATGACGGAAGCGTGATGCGTTGGACCGTTCGGAACAGGGGTGTAACGAGACGACGAGGTAGAAAGACAACAAGATCCACCAAACCCAGAGCCTAATGGCAAAACAGGTTAAAGCATGCTAAAACAGTATGACTTCATGAGCAGATGTTGAAGCTCTCAAATTGCAATCTCATGAGTGGGGACCCATCATTGAGAACTCTATCAAAATGATTCTGATCGGCCGTGCCGCCCTAGTCAAGACACCAATTGGCACCCTCCTGGGAAAGATGTTCATGGCCTGGTGGTCTCTGGGCTACTTCAGTTGGCCGGCAGAAAAGGAAAAGGCCTGGTGGATGGGTCGTTGGCGTTCCATTCTTGCTCCAAAGCCTGTATGTTTCTTGGACGGTCGGATTGTGAAGCATGCAGCATGCACAACCTTCTCCCTAGCAAGCGCACCCCGTTTCCACGTGTCCAAGGAATTTGCTTCATTTAGATCAGCTCCCAACCCTGCCCCGTAAAATGAGAGTAGTGCTGAGGGCCCCTTGTCACCACCGCACGCGGGTCTCAAACAGCATCAACTCAACTTGTCAACCCTGTACCGAAGAGTAGAAATATCGTGCATTCTTTCTGCGCCGGCAAAGGAGCTCCGCACATATCTCTCACACGATGCTGGATGTTGGTCTTCTACATCAAAAATAGCAGGAACCAAACTCCCGAACCCTCACTTCCACACCTCCCTGCACATGGAAAGCGCACATGGAAGCGCTGCTTCTCGCCTGCTGCCGCTCTCTGGCCCTCTGCCAACCTTGAGCACCACCGGCCACTCGCCATCTCCTACGTCACTCGCCATCACCGGAATTCGGAGATGAAGACCACCGGGTGCACCACAGCCCTGAGATCTTTCGGAAGCGAACCTCCATGGAAGGGATGTTGGGTGTTTACATGCAGAGGTGAATGTGAGAGATCTGCGAGGATATCACGAACTTCTGCAGAACCTTCCTCAAAGCGTATGACTTGCTAGTGGATTCCAATGATTCGGAGAAGAATTGGAGGTCCAAAGGAAAAGGGAAGGGTCCCAGTTCATTCTAGTAATGCCCTTCTATTGTCTGTGCAAACACCACAATTGCTTTGAAACAAGCTCAACAACCCTCCAGATTCGTAAACCCGAAGGTGCAAATGGTTCGTAAACCCGAAGGTTTATAGCTGGTGTGCAACATGACCGGCGCAGCTGGCGCATTGAGGAAAAAGGCGCTGAAACCGCATTATTTTTGAATGGTCAGGAATGACCTTTAATGTGAGGCATGTTAAGAAGATTTCAGAAACATCTGGAGGTTTCATACAAAATGTCAGGTATATCCAGGAAATATCCAAAACAGAATGCCATGGGTTCTTGACCATGTGACCAGTGATGGATTCTTCCTGTCTCTTCTGACTCCTCTGTCTATTCTTGTTAGCATTATCCTGTGTGCAATCTGTGAACTTTTCAAGCACCTCATCTGAGCACAAGTTTGTCAGTGTTCTTTCTTAAGCCTCTTAGCCGGCGCATGATTCAAAAAATCCGCCACATCCTGATGGCGATTCTGAGCTGCAAGCGTCCCAGGAGTGGTGCCGTCATGAGTTGTGGCATCGCGGGCGGCGCCAAACGCCACCAACAATCGTACAACTTCCAGGTGACCGCTTAAAGCAGCCGAGTGCACAGAAGTCCAGCCACCGACTGCTGCATGATTACATGTCGCTCCAGCCTGCAGCAGCGAGCGCACCACTTCCAGGTGACCATTCTGAGCCGCATAATGCAAAGCAAGTGCACCCTGAGAAGTGGCTTGTTTGCAAGACGCCCCAGCCTGCAGCAACAATCGTACCAGTTCAAGGTGGCCGTGTTCAGCTGCCACGTGCAAAAGTGTGTAACCCCGTGCATCTGCAGTGTTGGAAGAGGCCCCAGCCTCCAGCAACAAGCGTACCACTTCCAAGTGGCCACGGGAAGCAGCACCGTGCAAAAGAAATGATGTGGCTCTGTCATAAGAGGCCCCAGCCTCCAGCAATATGCGTACCACTTCCACGTGGCCATTTTGCGCTGCCTCATACAAGGCTGTAAAGCTCTCTACAATTACATGTTTAGTGTTGGGGTCCTGTGGCTGGTGCAACTTCCTTTCAACTTCTTGAAGGTCACCCTCCTGACAAGCGTCAAGAAATTCCTCATCTCGAACTCGGTCTGCTGGTAGGAATGCCAGCTTGACCATCTTCAGCACCAGTGGCGGAACAATCACCACATCGTCACCAACCTCCAGATGTTCTTCTGCTTGCAAGAGCCGCAGTCGAAACCTTGATCCAAATCCTCGAGACATAAGTTCCAGTTTCAGTGCTTTGATGGTGTTGCCCCGTTCTTCCACCAGAGCTTGCAACTCCTCGTCGTTGAAGACCACGGCATCTTCACCGGATGCTGCCCAAAGCACGCGCAGCGCCATCTACACAATCTCTGCGGCAATGGATATGCGTGTGACGGCGTGTGACAACTTCGAAATGGTGGAGACCTGGAATACGTCTCCTTCACCTCTCGTGACTTCACTGAAGCTATCCTGATCTTCTCTTCGTGGCTTTGTCGTGTATTTTGTCGTCAAATGACACTTGGGTACTTAGAGCTTGGAATGCCCTGAGCCATGCAGCACGAGCAAGAAGCTGAGGGCGATCCCCCCAAAAAGGATTACCCTCCTCTAAAGAAATATGTTCATTTGATCAGTCACCAAGGAAAATGTGTTGGGTCAACCAAAAAATGTCGTGACGAAATGTCCTCCACAGCCACGACAGCCCGGGCTTCCAGCCAACGAGACCACCAGTTGATCCACCGGACAACCTCGCCGCCTCGCCGATTTCGGTGCAAAGCGACGAGGACTCGGCAGTGGTTCGCCCCCGGAGTCACTTCGGGAACCCCCAACGAGGAGGGCCTAGAAGGTGCCCCACCCGACCACCAGCACCCAGCACCAGACCCGACCACAGACACTCACGGGTTCGCCCCCGAAACTCCGACACCGGCGCCGACCGTAGCGCCGTGAGGAGCACCGGTCGCCATCCCACGGATGGCGCCAGAACATCGGCGGAAGTGGTCGATGCGGTTGTTCTCGATGTGTTGTTCTTCTCAGATGTTCATTGTTGTTCTATATGTTTTGTCATCGTCCTATCGAAACCAGAACCGGAAGATCTAAGGTAGGGGAGTGGGCTGAATTCAAGTGTTCAGAAGGAAGGAAGCTCTCTGTTCTCCCAAGTTGGTGGGCCTACATGTTAAACAAATGTTTTCTTGAGGCTGATGCAAAATTACCATATCGGAGTCGAAGTAAAAACTCTACTGTGTGTTATTGTAAGAAGAATACCTGGGATATGTGGCTGGAGCCCAAAGGAAGCATGTTCTGCGGCTGCAACACACACAATGTGCACCCTCTGTAAAAAGCCATTGTCAATGGTTGGTGAACTAGATCCTCCAGACACTGTGGAGAATGCATCCATGCTTTTATGTTCCTGGCATCCTCGGTGGTTGGAAGTTGTCCATGAACAGCTCAAGATTCAATTATGTATTATTAATATCATATCTAAGCATTCATAGATTTTTAGCTTCAATGGGCATCTTCTGAATATTGCCTCAAGACCAAAAACCGCCATGTCAAGACCAAACATCGTCTTCCAAACTCACGCCGTGGGTCTTCCGAAGGAGTTCTTCAGTTGGAAAGATTATATGTAGTAGCAAATCCAGACTTGACTGATACAGATTCAGGAATGGCTGTCAGCCTTTTTGAGGCGTCGCAGAATTACATGGAAAGCTGGCCATCCACTTCAATCACCCACATTCTCACGGTGTAACATTCAGTGTTTTGGCCCCGAAACACCCCGAACATAGCAGATCACGGATCACCACCTCGCACCACGACCCACCCGTTGGAGGCTCCACCCGAAAAGCGCTCGGCGACCCGCTGGACGGTGCACTGCGTTTTCGGCTTCGCTGGGCTCGACGCGACCGGCTCCGGGACGGTTCGTCGCCCTGGCAGGGCGTGGCGCGTGGGGGACCGTCGCGAGCGGGCGTGAGGCGAGCGGACGTGAGGGAGCGGAAGCGTTGGGACCGGATTGCAAGAACTGGGTGGTATACCCTGTGTTGCCAGAGGAAGTAGAAAACAACAAAAACATCCACACTCACTCGCGAAGTGCCTGTCTGACGGTTCGCCCCACGGCCTAATGGCCAAGACATGCTAAAACAGCATGACTTCATGAGAAGATGTTGAAGCTCTCCGAAAGTGCCATCAGATTGCATGGGGAAAAAGATGGGCATCCTCCTGGGGATGTTCAAGGACCCCAGTCTCCCTGCGGTAGTTCAGTTGGTCGAACTTTGTAATCTTTGTAGTGGAAATAGCACGACGTTGTTGATGTTGAGGTCATTATGAAACAAGTTCCATCATCGCTCCAAAGTCTGTATGTTTGTTAGACGGTTGGATTGCGACGCATGCACAACCTTCTCCCTGCTAAGCACACTCCAACCACGTGGTCAAAGGAATTTCCATGTCTTGTTTGCTTCATTTACAGTAGCTCCCAACCTCCCAACGTGGCGTCACCACACCAGGCCGGCACCGGGCCGGCCTCAACGGCCTTCAACCCTATCTCAAGAGTAGGAAATACCGTGCGTGTGTTCTGTGCCCAGAAAAGAGCTGGTCTTCTACATCAACAATAGCCAAAATCAGTCTCCAAAACAATCCCCCGCACATGGAAGCGTACAAAAAGCTGCTTCCCGCCTCCTGCCGTTTTGTGGCCAAAATCTGCCCGAAGAGGGCGAGGAATAAGTCTCCTACGTCACTCGCAATCACCAAAATGGCGAGATGAACACCACCGGTTGCACTACCAACTGCAGCCCTGAGGGACCTTTGTACGAACCTCCATGAACGGATGTCACGGCGGATGTGCTGATGTATCTCAGAGATCTCCAAGAATCTCACGAAATTCTGCGGAACCTTCCTTGATTTGCTAGTGGATTCCAATAATGTGAAAAAGAATTGGAGGTTCAAAGGAAAAGGGAAGGGTTCAGTTCATTCTATTATCCGTGCTATCCAAAAACTTGTAAACAAACTCGACGACCCTCCAAATCACCCTGAAGAACAAGCCCCACAATTGGTTCAGGACGTGAAAGTTCCTAAATCCAGTGTAGCTGGCGCAACATGACCGGTACTCGTCGCATTTGTCCTCAAAACACTCCGTGGGCATTCTCATTGAATGGTTGGGCATGACCTTCAATGTGAGGCATATTAAGAAACATCGAAGGATTTACACAAAATGTCAGGTCTGCTTCATACAGCAGGATCAGGGCAGGCTTCAACTCTCCATAAGTTCCAAAAGGATTGGCGTGCAAAACAGGAGTTCCCAATTTCACTAGCCCTGGAACACTCATGCCACTCCACCTGGTGATATTCATGCTGAGTCGTCATATTGGGGCCTGGTTACCAACCAGTTGTATTGCTCATGGATGGGTTTTTTCTCCCAGCCATCGCCAAGCTATCTCTAGCTGTACAAGACCTTGTGAAGTGTTCCATCAAACATCTAAGCTGGAATGCAATGCATTCTTGCATTGACGGGACTGGGGATCCTGTCTCTGGTTTCTACACAACCAAGAAAAAGACAGTTAGTTCTCTCCCGGATCTGTGAGCTGTTTCAAGCACCTCGTCTGAGCACAAGTCAGTCAGCCACATGTTCTCTCCTCAGCATCTTGGCTGCATTCTGCAGGAAAAGGACCACATCCTGAAACCCCTCCTTAGCTGCAAGCTACGCAGGAGTTTCTCCCTCATGAGTTGTGGCGTCACAGGCAGAGCCAATCTCCACCAACAAACGGACGACTTCCAGGTGACCGTCCCAAGCAGCGAAGTGCAACGCAGTCCAGCCACCAACAGTGGCATGATCATACGCCGCTCCAGCTTTCAGCAACACGTGGACCACTTCCAGGTGACCATTCTGTGCCGCACAATGCAAAGCAGTTGTTCCCTGGGAAGTGGCTTGATTGCAAGAGGTCCCAGCCTCCAGCAACAAGTGCACCAGTTCCATGTGACCGTTCAAAGCAGCCAAATGAAACGGAGTTTCACGGGTCTCATCGGCACCATCACCTCTAGCCGCCAGCAGTAAGCGCACCACTGCCTGGTGGCCTCGGAGCCACAAGCGGACAATCTCCAGATACCCAGCAGCAGCAGCACTAAGCAAGGGAAACTCACTGTTATCTGTCGTGGCTTGATCACAAGAGGCCCCTGCCTCCAGCAATGTGCGAACCACTTCCAAGTGGCCATTGTCAGCTGCCCAGCACAAAGCTGTGCGGCCGTGTGCATCTGCAGCGTTGGAAGAGGCCCCAGCCTGCAGCAACAAGCTCACCACTTCCAAGTGGCCCATCTCCGCAGCCCAGTGCAGAGGAGTTATACGTATACCTTCATCTGAATCACAAGAGGCCCCAGCTTCCAACAATATGCGCACCACGTCCAAGTGGCCATTGCTTGCTGCCACATGCAAAGCTGCATATTTCTCCAATGCTGCAGCGTCTGCAGTGTTGGGGTCCTGAGGCTGATGCAGCCTCCTTTCAACTTCTTCTAGGTGTCCTTCCGCACAAGCCTCAAGAAATTCCTCATCTCGTTCTTCGTCTGCTGGTAGGAATGCCAGCCTGACCATCTTCAGCACCAGTGGCGGGACAATCACCACATCGTCACTAAGCTCCAGATGTTCTCCCGCGCGCAAGAGCCGCAGTCGAAACCTTGATCCAAATCCTCGGGACATAAGTTCCAGCTTCAGTGCTTTGATGGTGTTGCCCCGTTCTTGCACCAAAGCTTGGAACTCCTCGTCGCTGAAGACCACTGCATTTTCACCGGATGCTGCCCAAAGTAAACGCAGCGCCATCTATGTGGCAGCTCCATTAATGGAACTGGGCACACACTTGTGATGCAATCAAACATGTGGATTCCCTTTCACTATCTTCCACCCTCTAATTATGTCAATTCTACTTAATTATGGGCCATGGGTGGTTGGTAGTTGGTCGCCTAGAGTGCTTTTAGTGCCCAGTCTCTGCGGAGCGAACGTCATGCGACATGATCGAGCTGAAGAAGCATTACTCATATAATCATCAAAGTGAAACTCACCATCTGTTTAGTGTTCGAAGAAATGGTCATCCGATATCGGGGCAATGCCATCTATGTAGCCAGGATGATGAGGCCCGGGAGTGTCTTGTGTGCATGTTCGTCTCTACTTGTTTCTGAAGCTCTGCTTCGAGCAGCGATCAACAAGAACAAAGGTGAGAACAAAAACACGCCCTTCAATCAACCAGAACAAGAGCAATTTACTTGCTGCAAAAGAGATCTGAAGGGTTCTCAGAACCATTTCATCGAAACTCGATGGAAGGTACCACGAAAACCACTTAAGAACCCCCGCAAAGAAAGGTCCAGTACCCACCACCATCTCGAAGTAAAGCATGGACCTATCCAATATTCTTATCCATCTTCGAAACACTAAACTCACCACTTCACCTACTCATGTTGGGTGACCGTTTGACCCACATGCATCTTCAGAAAAATGAACGAAAAAACACCTCCTCAGCCGAATCAGCTCTGCTCAAAAACACCTCCCACACTCTTCTTCTCTGGAAAGTACTAAGAGACTTCCCATCCTCCCTTTGACCGTCGATCACCCAGCGAATTCCATCGTCGATCGCCCACGATCTCCTCGTCGTTTTCCCCCCGGGACGCCGGCGCCAACTGACTCAGTCGGTTTTGGAGAACTCAGTCGGCGAGTTCTCCCACATGTGGGAGTTTTCGGTGAGGTGATGATGGTTCTGTTCTACAGGAACGGTCTTTAGACCCATCGAATTAGGGGCTTGTAAAAACAAACCGAAGGTGACTCCTTTGACTTGCACCAAACCTGAAGGCAAAGGAGTCACCGGGATTGAAATATTAGTATGGAAATCTGACATCAGCACGACCTGCTCGTAATTAAACAATTTACCCAGCACCCCAAGTTAGGAGTCTCGATGTGAGTGTCTACTAGGGTGTTTGTAGGTCTCATTGCCGAGCACATATATGCAATAGCGGAGTCAAAAGCAAAAAGCTCAGCTCTGTGCGTGTGATGGTACTAAGAAGATTAAGTGGATGTGCGGCTGGAGCCAAGAAGGAAGCATCTTCCGCGGCTGGAACACACACAATCTGAACCTCTCATGCTATTGTTGATGACTGGTGAACTAGATTACCTAGATCTTACCTAGATCTTCCAGACGGTTGATGGAAGACACAAAGGAATGACTCCATGAAGCACACAACTTACTTAATCCAGAAAATCACTTGGGAGAGCCGTTGGGATGTCTCAAAAACAAACCCAAAACCAGAAGTTTTACCACAGGACGGAATCTACACGCCCTTGCGATTCACAGGGCTCGAGAAAATCGAAAAGATGCAAACCCGAAGCCAGGCCCGCTTGAACATTGAGATTTGGGGTGAGTTGCGAGTTTGCAAAGTTCCATTGCTGAAGAAGAACTTGATGACTTTTGTCCATCCACTGTGCATCCTTCAAACGCTGTGCCATGGACAATGGACAGTGCACCGCTGTGCCAAAGGAAAAAATTTGGTTCTAAGCCTCCACATCTTCACATGAGTCTGTGGGAAGAGAGTTTTTGGATGGCCCAAGTTTAACAAAATCTCCCACTTGCACTCGCAAAGACCACGGGAATCAGTCTGAACAACGAACCCCCGAAGTTTACCAGAGATTTTCCATCCTCTCAACAATTCTCCGTTGTACCTGTCGTCTGGAAACCAGGTGCCTTCGCCTTTCCAGTGCCATTGAGAAGGTGGAGCGAGGAGGTGAGCAGGGCACACACCCAAAGAAGCGAAAGTCAGCGACGAAGCGACGTCTTTTTTTGGGGGGCTCACGAAGTGACGAGACCATCACCGAAGTGACGTACGTCCAGACACTCGCAGGTCGCAGGTGTCTGGTGCCACACCACACCGGTGCGCTGCTACGGCGCATCCGAACTCCACGGCTTCGTCGCGGTGCGTGGACCAGCATCGGAGCCGCGACCAGGTGCGTTTGGAGCAGAGAGATGTAGAACCACCCCGCCCTCCCACAGGCCCACAGGTGCCTCAACCTCCTTTTTTGCCGGCGCACACAGCACCCAGCACCTGCTCATCGGCTCTTCAGATAAGCCACAAAGGCACGAACTTGCCTCAGGCACGGGCAGAACCGTCAGGAACCGGTCCCTCTGTTTGGTGTAAAGCTTCGGATGCCTGGCTTTCCCATTCTCGCAGTGTCCCTCTGTTTGGTGTCAAGCTCTTGGACGCCCAACAGACTCTCCAAGAATTGATCGTTTGAAGGACTCACACAGGAAATCACAAAAAGCAGGGCTTCCGGTGAGCTTTTCGCCCGTGTCCTGTCAATCGCCGAACTTACGCTTTTGACACGGATCGACAGACTATATAGGTGGCGTGTGCCTCCCTGCTAACGGGCCGAGAACGGCAAATGGCTGGGTTGCTCGAGCCTGGTCGCTGGAGAACATGTGAGCCTGGTCGCCTTCCGTTCAACCGGCTGAAAAACAAGCTTGAGCTGGTCGTGTAGTCTAAAATCCTTCGTAAAACAACATCTTCGGTAAACCCTATTAAATCATCAGTGGTCTCAATCTTTTGGATAAGACTAATTATATGTAGTTGCCAACTCTCCAGCCATGCGTGCACAGAAAGTGGCCCGAAATGGCCCACTGGATCTTACCCACTTCCATGTGCATGTGAGTGGGTTAGAGGGTCAACTCCCATCCATGCCCCCGAAAAGAACCAGCGGAAAGAGAGGAAACGCATCGCGTTTCCAAGAAACGTCTGACTCCGTTGGGACCGAAGCCCTTAGGAATTAGCAGAGGGTGATAATCCAAATAGCATATTCTAATAGTGTTTGACTGTTGATGAATATATCATCCCCACAGATGAAAGTGATGTAAATCCATTCTGGAGGGTGTATTTGATCATCAACAGTGGAAAAACCATCCCTGTTTTCTGCCTCCAAACTTGCCCAAGCACCGGTCCAAAGGCGCGTCGCCGCTGAAGCTGCCTTCCGCGAGCTTCCGCTCCACCTGGAAAGGCTGGCAGGAGCGCTTCGAGGAGCGCCTCCAGAAGGGTAACATCCACGAGTTCCCAAGGGTAGATGGGTTAGGGGTGCCCACATGAGCCACTCTTCACCTTCGGAACTGCCGACGAAGCAAAATCCCTTCGGAACTGCTGATGGTTGGGGTGGTGTCCGGTGACATGGAACGGCTGCTGGAGGATTGAATCATGGGTTGGGGAAACTGAAATCCATCGAATGATGCCCACACCGATAGATGAGATGCTAGTGAATTCTCTCTACAACTGGAGGGCATTGGGCATGCTTCCTGAGCAAGACAAACAAAACCAGTGCAGGCTCTCAGTTGGATGGTGACAGTGGTCATTCACCATAAACCACTGGGAGCGATCCTCTGTGCGAATCCAAATTTCCTTCCGGGCGACTGCGCACGCGCTACACCGTTTCAGCAAGATGCTGGAAATCGTTGAACGGGTTGGTCCGATGTCCGTCATTCCCCCCGCAGTGTGTTTGGGCGCAGAAAACGTTTTTGTTTCAACTCCGACCGATGGGACAGGAGACACATGGAGACACGGGCGTCAGCTTTTTGCAGCCGGAACTCCATGGAGGTTGGATGTTTCCGGAGCTTGGGCATCCAAGGTTGTTCGGACCAACCCTTTTAGGTCTCTTAATTTGTGTCCTTTCGTGGTGTTTTTGCGTTCAAACCACGTACAAGCAGACCGCCCCAAAAAGAGTACAGCAGCCATACTCCCCAAAAGCCTTGACGGGGTCATGAACCAGCAGAGTCAATATGGGAAAGGATCCTTTCCAGGCCAGATCCACCGGAGATCACCAACCAATATAAGAAGACTGGTCTATTTTCCAAACCTTCCACGGGGTCGAACTGGGAGCTCTCCCATGTCTTGAGCTACACACCCACCTGTTATCACCTGAGATGTCACGTGGAGCATTGGAGCATCGGAGCATCCAACTCCAACCCCCGTCACATCGATGCCCACAGTCCCGCAGAAAACAGGATCCGCGCACCATCCGGCAGTAGTCCACATCGTTCTCAGCCACATCGCTGAAGCTGCGGCCCTTGTGCTTGCCCAGTTTGAAGGTCTGTGGCTCAGTCCTCAGTGCATCCGACCGTCGGCTCTTGGATCATCCGGAGGTCCATGTCGTCTCTGCAGTCTCAAATGGTCGGACGAATGGTCGGACTCTTGATTCATAAACCCCTCCATTTTGAACCTCTTCATGTTGGGGTGGCTGATTGATCAAGAGTCTACTGGTCTGACTCACCGAGTTCGGTCACCCAGATCAGTTGCCGGGGTCCTTGGCTCCTTCACAAGATCTTTCTCGGCCCAAGATTATATAGTCACTAGTCGCTTCCTGGATCGGAAACCGGGTGAAACGAGTCCCATCCCATTTGTCCGGGGGTCTCCTAAACCATCCATCCGTCCGTCCGTCCGTCCATCCGTTCTGTGTGATTTGAGATGCACGGTGAACCTACGGGTGAAACGTTTCAGTGCCGGGAGAAACGCCTGGCAAAAGTATCTCCAAAATTCATGCAAATTCCCCAAGTGGTTTCTCGGGGGCCCCAAAGAAGAAGACACGTCATGTCGGCAAGAGCTTGCACATGGTTGCGCTGCTGGACTTCGTTTCGGGCTCAGAGGCTTGGCAGCCGAAACAAAGGGGGATTCGACTGCTGTGAATCCAGATGGGCCTCTGAAGCTTCTGGACGAAGCTTCTGGATCCTGGAAGTCCGTTCGACCATTCTTGACGTGGTTGATCTGGTTTTGTACTGAAATACTCCTTATAGCCTTATAGTAAACCAATGGTTGTTCAGTATATTACGTCAATGGTGGTTGGAATCCTAGGTGATTTCTGAAAACTGCTCGCAGTCTCCAGGGACCATTGGCTCCAAGCTCCTAGCCTTGTGAAGCGCTATAGGTCGGACTCCCGTGAAGCGCTGGGGTCCGTGGAGGTCCAATGCCGTCGGCTTCGTCTCTTCGTCCATTCTTCTCCTGCCTACCCGACCCATAGACGCCCCGCCCAAACCGCCCGAAACCATGTGTTGCCACAAGCTCCAACCAACCAACCAACCAACCAACCAAGCAAGCAAGCAAGCAAGCAAGCAAGCTCTTTTGTCTCACCCAAGCACAGCGTCACCCACCCAGTGTCACCCTTCTTTGGTAGCTCAAACAGCAGGCCCTCTCCGGGGACAGCACCCAGCTTCCACCCACCTCGGTCCAACTTCACCCACTTCAGCTTTCCACCTAGTTCACCCCTCAGGGGAGAAGGAAAAAAAAAGACACGGGAAAAACCGAACACTTCGTGTTCACCCACCAAACACCCCGTGGCTCCACCAACCTCGATCTCCCACCCCCTCTTCCACCTCCAGATCCCTCCGCCTCCGTTCCTTCCGCATCCCTCGTTCCGTCGTCGTTCTCCTGGCATCGGATCCGTCGCAGGCAGCTCTCCTTGACTCCGCCGCTCCCTGCGAAGACGAAGAGCGAACGCGAAGAAGCGACCGCTCCGGTCTTACGGTTGTGGCTTTTTTGGGCGCACCTGCTCCACCGCGGTCTGTGATTAGCCGGGGTCCTGGTAGAAAGCTAAGGGATTGGTGGGAGAAGAAGATCCCAAGACCTCAGGCCGATTTCCAGGACACGAGTTGGTCATAGACCCTGACGATCGGTGTGGGCTACGTGTCAATCCTCTGGAGGACACAACCCGCGGAGCTTGATGAGGGGGGCAGGAGCTGGGAATGGATCGATCAATGTCAAGACAGAAACACCCACAAACAACACAGCTTGGACCATGTCTGCTCCACCTTCTTCATAGCACATACATGCACATACTAGTTTGTATGTGAAGGGTTAGGATTGATCAGAGCTCTGGGCTGTCATGGTACCTACACCCATTTTTCTTCTCTTTGTAGCAGCATTGTGCAGCAAACCCACAACTTCCCGAAAGCTGCAAGCTTCGAAGAAGCATTAGCTGTGGACTCTTGCTGGCCCGCGGCAAACTCATCTCAACACAATGGCGCATGAATCAAAAAAAACACCACATATTGAAAGCCCTGCTCAGCTGCAAGCTGCGTGGGAGTGGTGCCGTCATAAGTTGTGGCATCGCAGGCAGCACCAAACTTCACCAACGCGCAATGCAAAGCAGTTGCATCCTGGAAAGTGAGATCACAAGAGGCTGGTGCCTTTGTCAGTTGTGGCGTCGCAGGCAGCGCCAGACTGCTCCAGCAAACGGACGACCTCCAGGTGAGCCCAAAAGACCGTGACCCCCGAGACAGCGGGGCCTCGAAACTGGCATGGCCCTGTTGACGGCGTTCAGCGGTCGATACGCTCGGATCCAGCCATTAGAGCATCGCGAGCATTCAAATTCCAGAATTGTAGATGTCTGAACTTCCATGTGCTTGGCACTCAGGTACTTGCGTAGGGTAGGACTCTATTTAGTCTGGCTCCATATCGGACTGAGCTGCACTGTTTCACGATCAAACTATTCAATTCATGATGGATTTGTTTAGGAAGCACCTATATTGCAGCAAACTGCAGCGGATGAACACAGCGGACACAAGCAAGGTCAAAAAGCCGCAAGTCAGCTGCTGAGCCCTGGAAATTTGGCAAACATCACTACAGATTCCCTGCACAGTGTGAGAAATCTGACTTCATTTGTGTTGGTCGGCCGAGCAGCAAAGTGCAGAGAAGTCCAGCCACTGACTGTTGCATGACCACATGCCGCTCCAGCTTTCAGCAACAAGCGCACCACTTCCAGGTGACCCTTTTCAGCAGCATGATGCAAACAAGTTTGACCATGAACTTCAGGTTCCAACCGTGGTGCCTTGGCAGGTCCAGGTTCCTCAGAAGCTGAGGAAGGGGCATAGCCAGCAAAACTGCTATCATCATTGGCTTTCAGGAATGGTCAATGATCTCTTGAGGCCAAAAGGCCCCAGCCTGAAGTAGCAAGCGCACCACTGCCTGGTCACCGTTCTGAGCCGCGCGGTGCAAAGGAGTTGCACCCTCGGCAGTGGCTTGATTGCAAGAGGCCCGAGCCTGCAGCAACAAACGCACCACCTCCAGGTGACAGGCAGCAGCAGCACTAAACAAGGGAAACTCACTGTTATCTGTCGTGGCTTGATCACAAGAGCCTCCAGCCTCCAGCAATGTGCGAACCACTTCCAGGTGGCCATTGTCAGCTGCCCAGCACAAAGCTATGCGGCCCTCTGCATCTGCAGTGTTGGAAGAGGCCCCAGCCTGCAGCAACAAGCGCACCACTTCCAACTGGCCCCACCTAACAGCACAGTGCAGAGGAGCTATACCTTTATCTGGTGTGGCTCTATTACAAGAGGCTCCAGCCTCTAGCAACATGAGTCACATCCAGGTCGCCATTCTCAGCTGCACAATGCAAACCTGTGCGGGTCTTGAAGCTCCTCTAGCCATTCTTCAACTTCTTCAAGGTGTCCTAACTCACACGCGTCAACGAATTGCTCATCTCGGTCTCGGTCTGGTGGTAGCAAGGCCAGCTTGACCATCTTCAGCACCAGTGGCGGGACAATCACCACATCGTCACCAATCTCCAGATGTTCTTGTGCTTGCAAGAGCCGCAGTCGAAACCTTGATCCAAAACCTCGCGACACAAGTTCCAGCTTCAGTGCCATGATGGTGTTGCCCCGTTCTTGCACCAGAGCTTGGAACTTCTCGTCGCTAAAGACCGCTGCATCTTCACCGGATGCCGCCCAGAGCAGCCGCAAGCTCGTGATGTACCCCAAAGTTCTGTTTTGCATTGATTTCCATGAACAACATGATCTGCGGATGTATTGATTCTCTCCTTCCCCTGTCTATCTCGGCTTGGCATTCGGCCATGGACCAGGGGCGTTGCTGTGGAACTCAAAGCGGATCAAAGGGGGTGTCAATTGACCATTCTCATATGCAACATGTAGCACAAAGTTCAGTGGTTTTCACTTGTTGTGGGCCAGTCTGCATGCCGGAGCATGTGCCATTCACACTGGCGCCCGTTTCTCCCGGCGCGCGCCCGTTTCACCGGGGCTCTTCAGATCAAGCAAGTGTGGTCTCTGGGCGAGGAGAGGTGGTTCCTCGCAGCCCCAGCGGGTCCCCGGTGTATTCTCGCCCTCCAGGTCTACTTAGTTTGAGACACGGATGTTCCATACGGAGGAAACAGGGAGAGTGAGTTCGTGGAGTTCGTGGAAAGGTTGAGTTATATAACTATCCACACCGGAGTCTTGCTGCGAATGGCACAACTCCCATGTGAGTACCTCTATAGGAACAATCCCTAGTCACACTCCAACATAGTGAACCCGCCACACACCTATTTCTCCGCAGACCAAAAGCACGAAGTTGGTCGTCAATTGAAAGGGTCCTTTGCGTTCTCGGCCGAAATGGAGAAACCCCTCCAATCTATTATGTTGCATCCTCAAATTGGATGGTTCCCTCAATAGAAAAAACTCCACCCCTCCAAACTCCAAAGTGATCCATCCATCACCTCCAGGACTCCTCACCTCGCATAGTTGGCCAGCTCCCCAGGCATGGACTCCCGTACTTCTTCCAAGCGATAGACCTCCAAGAGCAACGCCCTGGCCGCAGAGCGTGAGGCGGACGCTGCGTGGAATCTGAATGCAGAGAGGGGAGAGAGAGGCACAATCATAGCAGATTGACCAACCCGGACTGCGCATCTTGATTCAAAAGTGCCCCACCCGTCCAGGCCTCAAAAAAAGTGCCCAACTGCGGTTCCCTATTGGTCTGCGGGAGTTGAAATATAATCCAGCAGTCACAAAGGAATGGTTTTTAGTCCCTAAGTGAGTGGATAATGGGCACCCCTACCCTTCAATAGGCACCCCTTTGTGACTGCTGGATCAAGCATTCTACATTCGATTGAGAGAGAAAACTTGCTGGGCTTTTTCTGGCGAAGTGTCCATCCTTGGTGCGGGATCCAACCAGCCAGAAGGAGAGGCGAAGTCACCACAGGCTGTGCTTTTAGTTTCTCTGAAGCCGACCCTTGCAATCCATCAATGGTTTGAAGGCTCGGGACTACTTGCACCGAATTCCGTTCTCCCTCATGATCATCGAAGCCTTCCAGCTCCAAAAGAAAACACGCCGAGTTTGGCGCAAGAGTGGTTTCCGTCCTCAGAATCCATCGGTTCGGATCATCTTTCAGTTCAATCGTTTCGGATCACAAACCAGAAAAACTTGTAAGAAAAGTGTCCTTCTCCTTCCATCATCATCATTTCTCCCTAGACTCTAGTAGCTTGGAGGCCATCGCTAGTAGGTTGAAGGCCATCGCTACTGTTTTCTCTCTCTCTCTCTCTCTCTTCATGAAGGTCCTTGACGGCCCTGGAGCTGCACAGAGGAGACCAAGAAGAAACCGGACACCCCCGACCAAAGAACAGCATCATCTATGACGGCCAGGTCGTTGGATTCTCCGGCCCGTAGTTCCCCACGCAAGACAACCAAAGGTAGAAAGTTATACCACGGGTCCCAAAGGGGTGGTGTTTGGTCCCTAAGTGAGTGGATAATGGGCCCCCTAACCTCAATACCTGAAAACGACCCTCTTTCTTCGGGTGTCACTTCTGGCCAAATCAATCCCAAAAAGCTCAGATCGGTCAGTCACACAGTCCAAAAGATCTCCGGTCAGTCAACCAGTCAACCAGTCATTAAAGTCACCAACTTAACCATGACACTTTGACAGGGATGACCCATCACCCCACCTCTCAAACATTCCCAGCAGGACATGGCAATTCCGAAGAGGCTGCGGTTCGTCTCATGTTCCATGGGAGGTTCCGAAGAAAAACAAAACGATCACGACATCACCTCTGTGGATACTGCTGGTGTTCTGCACATCATGATCCGGGAGGCGTCACTCACCTGAATCTAGAAAGCGTTCGAAACCGTGCCCTGAAACAGGACGCAACCAGAATCTGTGTGAGATGCAAACTGCACATTTGAAGGGAACCCACTGGAAGTTTACAGCTCTTTCCAAAGCAAGACATCGGCGCCTGCTGCCCTGTTCCAGCTCCTCCTCAATGGCTTCTATGAGTTCCTCTTGCTGCGCCGGCGCCAGCCAGCAATGCTCACGAAGCAGTGCCTGCTGCCTGGGCGGCTTTCGCTCCCACATAGCACGATCTGCCCCACCAGCCGGAACAAATCAAAATGATCCCTTTCGTGTCGGCACCATCTTAGGTGGCAGGGGAAAGGAGGAGGGAGAGACTAGCGTCTCACGTGCCAGTGAACCAAAGGCCCAGGTTTTGGATGGAAGAAAATGACCTGGCGCCCCAGTAGAGGATGAAGCCAATTGAAAAAACACCTGTCCTCCCCAACCTCAAACAGGCTCAGTAGTTGACGTAGGAAGTCTGCATATGCTCACCATGACCTCCACAGAGCAGCACATAAAAATTCACAAGCGTGGATTCTCTAAGAAGCTCACCCTGAGAGTTCACCTCGAAAAGCGAATCCCGACATCTCATCCGACCATCTCAAATCCGACTCTCCGACTACGACGTTTTCGCGAGGACTGCCGGTGTCTTTTCAGCCTCGCCAAGCGGTTTGTTCGCACAGGGTCTTCTTTTCGAAAAAAGGGCGCGCGAGGCATGGCTGAACCGGCGCCGGTGTGATGTTCCATGATATTCCGTGCGGTTCCCTTTTCAAACATGTGTGGGAAGCCGTAGAGAATCCATTCGAAGACCATGCGTGTAACGTTGGAGGCCACTAGGTAGCCAAAAAAGAGCTGCACCAAAACAAGAAGATCGGCCTCTTTGAAATGCCAACCCGCACTCACCCTCAAATCTTGTCTCCGAAGCTCAGAACCCCCACCTCTCTTTCTCCAGGATCTCCTTCTGCACAACCTCTTCAAAGACTTTCAGCTCTTTCCCCAACTCGTCCAGCTCGATTCGTTCGCTCTCCACCCGTTCCACCAGCCCACCCAACAGCCCGCGCAAGGCGCGCGCCGGCGAGGCCGCCGGGCGCGGCGCGCCGCGCGCCAGGCGCCCGCGGAGCCAGTGCTGGAAGGGCTGCATGAGATCCAAGGTGCTCCAAAGGACCTCAGCGTCTAAGAGAAGATGATGCACATCATGTGAAAGTCATGTGTGCACGCTATGGGTACGTGCAATGGTATTGTTCTGTTTTTGGTTGGTTTCTAACATACATCAGGTAAAAGAAAGAGAGAAGAGCGTGTTTGGTAGATGTGTCTGCCATGTAAACTACTGGACCCAGGACCTCAGGGATCCAAATTTGGATGAATGGCAGCGAGATCCAGATGATGAACATCTAGAAGAGCCCCATGTGCCAAAACAACACCGGAGGCGCGGGCAAACAATCAGGGACAAACATGATGGACAAAGACTGACAAGCAAGAACTCGGGAGTTCTAGAGAAGCCAATGGAAGAATGGATTTCAGTTGATTTTTGTAGCCTTGAGGTCGCTTTCATTGTGCCATCGCACAGTACATCGGAAGGTCAGACTGAAGCCCTGAAGCACCTTCTTCAGATCCCGCTGGAACCCGGTCATACCCGACCCTTCGCCCAAGCGGCATGTGCCAGAAGGGCACAATCGCAGAGTTCCACCTGCACCGAAAACAAATCCATGTTGACCTTCAAAGGATCCTCAAACCCGCGCTACAAACCCACGTTCAATGGACCAGAAGGGCACTATAGTTGCCAGGAGGGGTGTTCAAAAGACCACAGAAAGTGTCGAAAAAAGAACCAAAAAAAACAAACAAACCACCCCCTCCAAGTCGAACCAGTCCTTTTCTTCCACTCTTCGCATCCGCTGTTGGAACGATCGCCGACCGCCTCACGCCGTCCGCAGGTCCACGCGACCAGCTGCAGCATCCGCGCCGCTTGCCCCAGGCGTCGGTCGGAGACCACCTCGGACGGACGGAACCCACCGACCGACGTCGGGACACGGTCGACACGGTCCGCCGGGCCGAGCGCTTTTCACCGGTCTCCCGCGGTGTCCGGTCTCCCGGGGTCGACCGGAGGGAAGGTGAAGGGGTTGTGAAGGGAGGGAAGGGAAAGGGATCGAAGAGGGGGTTGTGATGGTGCCATTTCAATCGAGAATGGATTTGCACGCGTGGCGTTTTCCATCTCAAACATCCCGCACGTGGGACATCTGGAACGTGGCACGACCAGAGGAAATCTCTAGAACGAGAACGAAGCAATCAAACCAGACAGTAGCTGTATTCCGAGGGAATAGACTCTAGACCCTTGGCATCCTACTGCAGCTCTCATTGCAAATGATCGTCAGTGGGAGAATTAGGTCATACCAGCAGTCACAAAGGGATGGCTTTTAGTCCCATCCAGTGAGTGGAGTAGCTGGGCACCCCACCCTCCAAGTTCGGCACCCCTTTGTGACTGCTGGTAGGGTCTCCATTCTTGGCGTTTCCTGGGATTTGTTGGCTCCCAAACCGCGTTAGCCCACACACCTCCTTCTTTGACGTGAGGTAGCTGCGCGCATCCTGGGAGACCGACACCGAACAGCTCTCAGATATGTTTGTAGATTCCTTGAACCCCAACGACCTATAATGTTGACGGTTGATTCATAACCCCCTCCATGCAGGGATGTTTGAATCCTATAGTTCTGAATCATTCTGAATCTCTAAAAATAAAGCTGGCTGATGAAGGGTCAACATGAACCTTTTGAGTTCTTTTGGGGCCTTCGTGCTGGTTCTCCTTCAACATCTTTGGCACGGTCGCAGCAACCAGCCATGCACGTGTGAGTCAAGCATCCGAGTGGACAACTCAAACAGCCAACACCAGCGGTTTCCTTCAGTCCTTGGGCAAGGTTTACCTAGGACCTAGCACTCCCAAAACCTGATTCAGTCCATGCACATCCACCCATCATCCTCCAAACCCTCAAGGCTTTTGTCAGCGATACCCAGTCACTCCCCATCCCTCACTTGCCCCTCCTTGAAGATCTCCACCACCTCCTCCCTCAGCGTCACCGTGGCCGCACCGCGCAACGCTTGCGCGGCATCCTCCAAGCTCAGTGGAAAAGGGGTCACCTGGCGCTGCCCGCCAAGCTCGAGTCTCGAGTCTCCACAGCGGTGTCGCGGGGGTGAGCGCGGGAGCGCAACTCGGCGACGGGAGGTCTTCACCGGTGGAGGACCGTGACGAAGTCACCAGTTCGCTTTAGGTGAACATGAGCTTCGTTGGTCAAGGTCCAGTGGTGACATTGGATGGGTCCAGATCTTTGACCTTTGTTTTGGTCAGAGGTGGTATATAGACCTTCTTGTCTTTGTGGCGAGGATCCTGGCGCCTTAGGTGGTTTTTCCTGGCGCCTTCCCGTCGATCGCCCTCCGCCTCACTGTCCGCTGCATCGGCTCGCGGCTCCACACCGGCGCGGGTCACGCGGAGGAGCTCGCCGAGCGCGGCGTCGGACACGGGGCGCACCACCAGGCGGAAGAGGAGGCGGTCGTAGAGGGCATCCAACTCCTGTGGTCGGGAGTGGTTGGACATTGAAGAAAAGGTGGTCGGAGCGGGCTATTTGAGGTTTGGAGAGTTTGGGGAGCCTTTTTTCTTCCAGGTGATGGGATTGATTGGTTGATGCTTGCATTGTCCAGTGATGGTAATGGATGGTAATGGTATATACTTGGCTCCAACATCCCTCTTCAGGCTCTTGACCACACTCACGCCAAGTCCGGTTTGCTGCGAAGTAACAGTTATTGAACCAGCAAGCTCGGTTGTGATCGTGCGAATCGCGTCTTGGTATGTACCAAGGCGCACGGTGCTGTGTCTCGTCCCAACACAACCCCCAAAGCGCCGCTCCGCTCATATGGCTCCCGAAGGCTCCGCCCGAGTTCCACCGCGGTTCCTTTCGGCGTTCGTGCTTTCGGGTGTTTCTCGGTCCAAGAATTGCCAGGCCAAGCTCGTTGATGGTTCCAGAGTTCTTCAGCGTAAGCACGGGGAAATCCAAACCTGATTCCACAGTCAGGGTTTTCCGGTTCCATGCCCGCTTTTCAACAAGAAGCAAGAACTGGCAAGAACCCCTAAATATCACACCCTTTTTCATACGTGTCACAGTATCCAGCTGGGGAAGCAAACCTGATTTGGGGTGATTCTTCAACTTCCATCTCGCCATTCTCTCCCCATACATCTCCCCCCCACCCCACACATCTCCCACATCGCGCCACACATGGCCGGTGGTCTCCTCGGTTTCAGGCACCTCGTTCGAGGCACACACCAGGCATCGGAGCGGCACCCAGACACGGTCGGGGCCGTTGTCAAAGACGCGCTCGTTGACGATGGAGAGCAACGAGTTCCTCGGTGCCACGGGTGCGACGGTTCGCGGGTTCGGGTCGTTGGGCAGCGGCGGGTACGCAATGGTTTAGAGCGGCCAAAAAAACCGCGAGACAGTCCGGGCGAGTCGCAGTTGAAACCGCTGAAGGACAGAGGTTGCTTTTGAAGTTGGACAAAAGTTGGAAATGACACCAGCAAGTGGAGATGAGAAAACAAAATACTCTACAACGTTTGGTTGTGGGCCACTGGCTCAAGACTCCTTTGTACAGACGTCAATTCCGTTGGCTCGAACACGAATACATGAAACGATTCCTTCAGAATGTGACCATACGGAAATGACTGGGAAGTCACCAGAGCTTCTGCACCCTCGGCAAGGTGGGCATCTAATCTAACTTCTATAAAACCGTCCTTCATACAGTATGACCAGCGGGCATGTGTTCTTTGGATGTGTGCAACTGCTGAGATCCCAGAAGGAAGAGGCAAAAAAATGGAGAAGTGGCCATGGAAAAAGGGAATGTGTGGCCAGGTGCATCTCTCTCCTCTCAATGAACCGCTTCACCGGTGAACCTCGCCTGAACTCTCCATTCCGAGAGCCCGGCGACAGCCCGGCGATTCCCGGCGACAGCCCGGAGTTCGATCTTGACCGAAAGGGACCGGTCTCGGGGGTCGTGAGGTGAGGGAAGCATTGGCCAGCCAATGAGTCATATGAGTCATATGAGAGATGAGTCATGCATAAGTGTTTTCTGGGGGGAAACCTATCATATTGCCGAAGATGAAAGGTGCCATTGAGACGGTCTGGACGTCGAAGCTGTGAGGGGTTGCAGTCCCATGCAGTCCTTCATGGAAGGTTCATAAACCACCTGCTTGCTGTTCGGACCATCATCCTGTCGGGGCCATGCCATTCACCCCCATGATGATTTTAATTCTAATAGCTTTTTGTTACTACTAGTAAGGCACTTGTTACTACTAGCGTGGCACTTGTTACTACTAGCTTCTTGTTACTTAGACGAAATATATCTGTTTGCATCTTTTGGAAACGGACTTCAGTGATCAGACCACGCGTGACCAGGCTGTTCCATTCCGTCAAAGAACCGGGGGTCCTTTCTTAAGCGTATGCTGTCAGCAGCTCAGCCCTCCTCTTGGAGGGAAAACCTGCACAACCTTGGGGAGTTCTGCACGACCTTGGGGAGTTCTGCACGAATCTTGGGGAGTTCTGCATGAAGTTCGGGGGCTTCTGGAGTTCTTCCATGAATGCAGCACTCATCCTTCGAAGAACTCCTCTATTGTTAAGACAACGAAAATTGATCCAAGGTCCCAAGGAGTTCGGCTCGTTCAAGCGCTTGAGAGTGTCTCCCTCCGAAACACTGCTTGGTTCCCCTCGTCAGGACCTTGTAATGGGACATATATCTGCACTGGCTCAAGGGTCTCTCTGCTCGAGAGGGCAGAGTGGAGCCGTGCGCACAGCAATTCGGCGCTTAAATTCGAGCCCCAGGCCGAAGACCCTTCGTTCGTGGAAAACAGAGCTGTTACGAGTCCATTGTGATACCATAGAAACCAAGCTCCTCTCTGACACCACCCGGGACACCGGCGCCCGCGCGGACCTGTGCCGCCGGGCCAAGCGTCAGAATGGCGCTATTCGCCTTGAAGATCTCGTCCACAAAGGCGATGGACGCCTCCCAAGACGACCCACGACGGTGAACCAACGACGTGAACCCAACCGACACCGCGACGGGAGGCGGAATGGTGCGACCGGGGTGGTTGTTCCATCCACCGACCCCAAACATGAACTTCGGAGGGTTTGGGTGGCTGCGAGGATGTTTGGAGGTCTTTCAAAAAGTTCAACAAGATCCTTGGAACCCGCTGGAAGAAACCTCTTTTGAGAATGTCCGACATGTCCGTTCCGAACAGACCGCCAGGCAGTGCTGGTGGGTTTCGTGTTTCTGGCCGGTGGAAACCGCGGTGGGTGGATGGTATCCTTCATTGCTGGTCCAAGGTGAAGAACGCACCCCCAAAGATCAACAGAAGCCACTGAGACTGATGCTCATTATGTGAATGGCACCCTGTGAAACCATGCCCGGGCTTTCAGGTTCCCCGGAATTTCCAGACCGAAGACCGGTCTTGTTGCGTTTCCAGATCAGATCCATCTCCAAGGATTTCACCCACCTGTTTGGTCTTCGGATGTGGTCCGAAGGCACGAAAGGGGCGGCGACGAGCATCGCCAGCCTCGGGCAAGTAGCCCGTGGTCTGCCGTACGTACCTCAGACATGGGTTGCAGACCACCCGGACGGCAGCTTTGTGTGCCTTGAATTTCGTGGGGTGCAGAGATCCGTGTAGAATCAACATCTAGAATAAAACTTCGTGTTGAAAGCCTTTGAGGATAATATGATAATGTAGCGTCAGAATCACCGCATCTTCCCCTTCTCCACACACCCAAATGTGGGTTTTGCTGGGTGTATTGCACTTGACCTTCTCCCAAGCCCTGGTGCGTGCACCCGGGCGGCACTTCTTGGCAGAAAGTCATCCGTTTTGGGCTCTGGCAGACCGATCCAGCGAGCTTGGGCGAGAGGAACAGACGGAAACCACAAGGAGACAAGCCAAGCAAGCAAGCAAGCAGTCCGTCCCCAGCGTCCCCATCTGCCTACAGGTCGCTGGTCGTTCTCCAGGCCCTTCAAAGACAAAGGCCCGAAAAGCTCCTCCGGCACCGAGAAGCGCGTCAGCAAGCGCTCCTCAGCCGTCGTCCCTGGTCGTCGCTGGTCCTCCTCGACCGATCCGTCGGGTGGCACGACCACGGGACTGGTCTGGCACCGACCTGAAGCGGTGGCGGGTCCTGCGTTCACCCAAAAGGCACAGCCGGCCGGAGGCCCTTTCAGGCCCAGCCTCCCCTTTCCAACTCTGCCAAAAACAAGTCCCTATTCAATCAATTGGAGACGTAACTGGAGCAGAGCCCAATGTGAACAAACCGTTTGGCTCTGCTCCGTTACCTCGGTTGCTCCGATCTCCCAGAGGGAGACGAAGGATGGGTGATCCAGCCATGCTCAGGCAACACGCACGCGTCCGTGAGTTAGGGTCGTTTGTTTCTCTTCTGCTAGGGTCATGAGTGATTTCTTGCCGCCATATGTCCATATAAATAAGACCCATTTCACACGGGCAACCATTGAAAAAACCATTGAAGCAACAATGGAAATCAACGACAAACACAAAGTCACAAAGTGCATTCACAAAGGGAGATGGCTTCAGCAAGAGACTGCCGAATCCAAAATCATCCAAGGTGGAAAAAAAAACATGAAACCAACACAAACCCATCAGAAGACGGCTATGTAAGCATTCCTTCAACGGCCAACAAAGAGAGGATGAGACGTTGAAAGCCCGAACCGGATTTTCGGGGGATGACGCTTCGATGTTTCGCTGGCAGCGTTGCCGTCCTTGCCGTCGACTCTTCTGCACCCCTTCCGGAGCTCGTCACAAAAGAGTCGACGACTCTTTCGTCACACGTGTGGCCATCTAAGAGAGTTCACCCACATTTTGAGAAAAGCAGAATTTGGACTCCATGGGGTCGAATGCCCATGGGGTCGGAAGCGGCCTTTTTATATGCAATCGAGGGTCAAGTTATGGCTCAACACCCAATCCGACGACCTTTAGATGCAGGTGTCACCAACCATGCCTGTGAAACCTTCATTCCTTTCTGCCCCCTCCCACAGTGAAACTGCGCCACTCTTCATCCATCCCACACCGACCATGTGGTCGTCGCTTCGACTGAGCAGCGAAGAACACAGCGTCGCTCCCCACGAAGCGCACCAAGCGCCGCGCCAGCAAGCTTTTAGCCTCGGAGACGGCCGGGCGCCGGGGAGAAGTGGGACTGGCACGAACAGCCGGCGGAGCACCCCGCGCTGCAACTGACCGTTGACTCCAAAGCTTGGTGGCCAACAGTGCCTGGTTCAGGCATCACGGGTGGCCTTTCAAGGACTTGCTGCGGACGACACATGACACATGGCACCTCTAGGTGCGCTCTGTCCCGACGTCGCAGAGGATGACTTCATCCAACCATGGCCCCCAAACCACACCCAGCTCACCTGTCTCGATTAGAACTATGGCTATGGCTCTACCTACCTAGCACATCCCACCAGGGTGGATCCTGACTTCTTATTGTTGGTGCAAACAGTATAACGGATTCAAACTGCGCTTCACTTACCAGACTTGGCAGAGGGACCCTGGGTGGCAACAGCCATTTGGGCGAATTTGATGCATCATGCATGTGCACGTGTGTGGCATGTGGCATGTGGAGTCTATGCTCAAAGAACCACCCAATTCTCACCCAGGGAATCCTGGTAGAACTTCGTAGCAGCAAGGTTAGGACGGTTAGGACTCAGCGGAAGGAGTCCGACAACACCAGCTCTGCAGAAGTACTGGTGCAAAAGTAGTATAATCCCTCTGACAGAGAAAAAAGCTTTAGAAGTGATGCTGAGGGAAGAGTTCTCTAGGATAGAACCGAAGATGAAGAGTTTGCGTCACTCTTTTTGCAGGTTTGTCTACATCCAAGGTGGCTCAAGTGTCTGTCTTCCATTGAGAGTAGTCGAATCGATTGCCGCTCATTGCACATCCAGCTTACTCAAATGCTTTTAACTGCTAATTCATGGGAATTGTGAATCCAATCAAATCAGAGGTTTTGTGTATGGTTTCGTATGTTCTTTATGAATGGTCACCAGCAGCTCTTCTCGTCTTCGTTCCCCCCAACGATTGGAACCCACCACCTCACTCCCCCCACCCGTTCTCCGACCACCTCAGACTGGGCGGCGGTCCCGGGTGGCCCCAGGAGAAGCAAATGTTCACCGCCTCGGCACCGACCGGTGCAAACCGGTGCAGACCGGTGCCGACGTCCAGAGCTGGCTGGGTTGCCACGGTGGCCCTGTGGAAGGAACCAGGGTGCCGGGGCGCTCGCAGTTCTAGGCATCGGTCGCAGTTTTCAAAGATAGTTGGAAGCGATGTACCTCCAGTGACCATTGGGGTTGGTGGAGAGATGTGTTCATTTACACTTACGGCATGCATTGTTCAAATGAGATGTCCTTTTCAATCGACTGGGAGGTCGCTAGCCATTGTGGGCGGCCATTGGTCCTTGGCAGATGTCTACAAATGAATGCCAGTCCTCCAAAAGGGTATGTGATCAAGGTTATCTCTTTGCAGAGAGTCACTTTAGAGGGGATAGCCTGTGGGATCTTCTACTTTAGGCTGATAGGTACTGATAGATGCATGTGGTGCTGCATGCTGCTTTGTGCTCGCCTTGCATTTGCGTGAAGCCTAGCCTTTCATCGGAGCGTTTCAGGGAATCACAAGAACACAACAGAACAATCCAAAAAGGAGAGATGCGCATCCATTTGATGCTTTGTGTTCTTTGCCTTTGATCAGATAGGGTCTTGAACTCGAAACATTCCATGAAAGCAAAAGCAGGTTGTGGATGGCTTCCAGAGGTAGTTGACTGGACACATGTAGAAACGTTGGCAACGCCAAGGCGTCATGGTTCCCCTCGACAGTTGGTGGCGACACCCTCGCCCGCTGTCGCCCACCTCCTCTCCCAGGAGAAAGGAAGCTCTATGAGTCTGTTCGATGGAAGGAAAGCTCTTCATCTGGGAGCCAAACCTTTTGAGCTTTTTGGGGATGGATCTGCAGGAGTTTCGTGTGTTTCATACACGCACAGCAGTGCACAACATGATCAGGTTGACTCATGTTGACTCTATAAACCGAACTCCTCAAGTATGTCACCTGCAATCCTGCAATCCTGCTGGCATTGCAACGAACTGGAACGAAGAAAACAAACAAGAGTTCGAACACCCACCCTTGCAGCCGAACGATCCCTGCCAGCACCCTCGAATCTGTTTGGTTGTGGGTCGCAGCCTTCAAATCAAAATCCTGCTATCCAGAAACCAACGGATGCCTATACTCCGCCTAATATGGAAAACCCTTGGAAGGCGAGTTTCCACAAAGTTTTTATTATTTCCCTGATGTGTTTGTACCTGTATATATTTGCTTCAAGTCGTGTCCTTCACGACTCAAAGTCTCTCCGCCAAGCCACAAAACGCTGCCAGCAGCAAGATTCGGGCTTCCAGCGATCTCTCCACTAAGCCAGCCTTCCAGCATGCACAAGCCACCAAGTACTGCACGTTGGGGGTTGGTTGCCCACCAGTACAAGAGCCCATGCAACAAATCGATTTGGATGTCAAAAGATTCTCAACACTCGGAGAAAAGAGCTGGCAGCACTCGCAGTGGGGCGTCGCAGGGTCCTGCGACGTCCCAAAAACCACTGCGACGTCCGAACAATGCGGGTCAAGCGGGTCAAACCACCCGCAACCACCACGCGAAGACACATGTGTTCCTCGTTGGACAAAAGGTGATGGGGATACCGGGCAGTAAAAAGGACCACTGTGAAAGCGTCGTTGACGCCGGGAGAGCCATCACCATTCTCCATTCTAGAGTGCCAAGGAGAGCCATTCCTGGTGACTCCCAAGCGGTTTCCCGGCAAAGGCTGTTGGACATGAAACTCGAAACTCTCGAAGGCGTAGTTTAGGAACCCCTCGGGCCCATGACTGTCTACAGAAGGGGAAAACCACGAGCGTACGACAAAACATGTGAAAAAACCCGATCGGTTCAGGGATTCCGATCGAACCTGGGAGTGGCCCAAGCATTGAATCCATGGAGTGGCTAGTGCACAACCTCCCCATGCAAATCGTTTGCATGAGGCGCTCGAATCACCTAACACGTCCGCTGAAAACCTAAAAGGGAGGTCCTCTCTGTCATCATGCTCATTGGCTCAACAAACAGGTGCACCTCCCAACAATACACCCAAAACACACCAAAAAACAACAAAAGCCAACAAAAAAAGAACTCTACATCTGGCAATCTCTTCTACATCTACATCTGGCTATCTTACATCTGGCAATCTATCATCTTGGCGAATGACCCGTCCTCCCTCCACCCACCAGGTCCGCCCAGGTCCGCCCAGGTCCGCCCATCCCCAACCTCCAAGACGTCGACGGCCTCCAGGATTCGCCCACGCAGCTCAGACCGCTCGCGGGCGGCGCCGACTGGCGCGGGAGCGTTTTCTTCGCACCAGCGCCTTGGTGGTGAAGCCGTGAGTGGCTTCATCCCGGTGAGGTGGTGAAGCAGTGCGAAAGCGAAGGAAAGAAGGCGAAAGAAAGACCCATTTGGGGCGACTTGGCCAATTTTCACTTGGGGCTCGGACCCAACCGAAAAGAGCGCACGCCGGAAGAAAGCGCACACCCAGATCGCCAGTAGACTACATGACTTGGGGCTCGAAAAGAAGACCGCGGAACGCAACGACTGAGAGCAGTGACTCGACTATCTTCATTCACCACAACACCATGCCGAAGAATGCCCCTCCAAAGTGCATCCACGTTTGGCCCCAAATGCTCAAATCGCACCTTGCCACATCACGCTCTCACAGATTCCACGATTGCCGAAAAACCTACGAGCACAACCCGGTTACGGTTGGTGAGCATAGTCCCACTCACCTACCAACCTGAGAAATCAGATTGCCCACTGTTTTGATTCCCGATATATAGTACTTGAAATAAGGTCCCACAGATTTAATAATGATCAAAAGGAGTCAAAAGCAGTTTATGAGAGAATTGAATTGTGAAAGGAAATCAAAAGGACTCAAAAAGATTTATTCGGGACATTGAAAGTCTAGAAAGGGTTCAAAAGGAAATTTAAAGGATAATAGAAGTATCTAGATAAAAAGAAACAAATCTGTCAGTATTCTCAAACACTGATGGGGAAAGCTTGGTTTTTGTTTTTGAAATGATAACCCTAGGACATAGAACAGCTAGATAAGAGCCAATAATACGGTATAAGAAGGAACTTGACAGTCTAAACCAAATCAATCCCATTTTTTCAACCAAAGAAATGATGCAAAGGAATTGAGGAAAACAGAAGGGAAGCAACATATGTCCGGATTTGCAAAGAAAAACAGATATGAAAAGACAGATATGAATTGCCGTTCTCCGCGTGCCGAACGCGTTGCCGCGTCCGGCGGAGTTTTTCAAAACAACGACCGGACCGTGGAAGGTTCCACCGCCTGCGTCGGTCGCACCCTTTTGAGAGGTTTTTTGTGACCTGAACTAGGACCCGGGCAACCTGGGGTACCCGGTCCTGGGATAGTCGAACTAGGCTTCTGAAAGCCTCTGTTGGTCTGGCATCCCCAGCACTTTCACCCCCACACCGCAGAACTTCTCTCCAGGGCTCCGCATCCTCTCCTGTGCTGCCAGATCGATCGGAGCTTCGACCTGCGGTTCAGTCACCCTCGGCCGCCCTCGGCCCCCACCCGCGCACCAAAAGCAGCGACCGAGCTCATCTCCGTGCTGAATCAGTCAATTCATCTTTTTTGCGGGGAGGACAAGCCTGCACCTGAACATACCCCAAAAGAAAAACGGATTTCGTGCGATTTCTAGTAGGGATATCCGTCGTAGTAGGCAACGGGAAGACCTAAACGGGCACAGGCTCAGACTCTTCGCGGAGGAATGGAATTAAAAGGGTCCTCTCTGTGGAAAAGTCGAAGTTGTAGAAGGATCCCTGGTAGAGGTTTTATCAGTCCAAAAGACCTACTATGCTCAACTAACAGAAGTGGAGTGGAGTTCACCATCTGTTTGTACACGAAGAGTGTCATCCAAGGGGCCTTTGTCCATTTCCATGACTATCTCAGGGAGTGTACGGTCTCATTGTTTACATCGATTCATCGATTCTGCTAGCAAGGGTTCTTGATCCATTTCCTTAACCTGGGAATGCATTTCTATTTGGTCATTTGGTCCAGAACATGCAACAAGGCCATCTTGTCAATACATTTACATGGTATGATAGGCGTGCCTGTTTCCGGCCAACAACAGCTAAGCACGATTGTTTCCAAGGATACCTTGAGTGGGGAACAAATGGAAACAAGCATGTTTTGGCTGTTTTGGTTCTATGAGAAAACCTCTTCCCTGCCGAAGAAGGACAAGAACCCATTGGTTAACGCAGAATCTAGTTGAGAATCTGATAGTCGCTATCACACTTTAGAACACTTCTTCGTCACAAAGGACTTCTCCCCTCACCATACCTTCCAAATGCTGAAGGAATTTGGGCACTGCCAAGTTGCCAAGCGAAGGAACCATGCTCACCATACCTTCGACCCCTGACCCCTGACTCACCTACTTCGACCCCTGACGCTCGGTGTTCGCACCATCCCGAGGGGCTCAGGTCCAACGCCGAGGCACGGAACGGGTGTCCAACGCCGAAGCCCCTCGTCTCAACGAGGGTCGCGGCTGCCGCGTGCGCGGGCGACGAAGGCGTCGCGGAGGCTGCGTCCTCCGTCTTGAGAAACGTGGGCGTGAAAGAAACATGTAAAAAGCAAACATGGAGGAAAAACCCAGAGGAAAAACCCATGAAAAGGGGCAATGCATCAGTGCGTGTCAATCCGGAAACGTTCATTTTGACCAACAGAAGCGCAAGCCAACTCGGAGGTGTTGTGTTGATTGAGTCGCAGTTGTTGAAACCTGGAGGCTTGTTCCCATACAGCAAGCCTTCCCCCTTGACCTGTCCAGGTCTTCACCATGGAGGAAATACGGAAGAAGCTGACATAGCCCAACTGGTCAAGGAAAACGGTATATCAACAACATACAAGCTGGAACTGGAGGATGGTAATGGTACTTCTTTGACAATGAAGACACCCCAAAATAAACGGAATTCCGCTGGAAGCACGTGGATCGATGATAGCTATCAACCACTTGCATTGTAGTCCTTATACAATGTATACAGTTAATCTATATACAGGTACATATATATGATATGACCATTGTGATGGGTAAAGGGAGATGGCGCCACTTCGAGCGGTGTGCGGTGTGAAAGCATGAGATATACTCACTGACTCATGTTAGCATCGCTATTCAAACATCATCAAGTATCGCCACCCTGGACCTTCAAAGGGGTGTTTTATGGAGATCCCTAAGTAGCGTAGGGGCTTCCATTGGTGACCCCTTTGGGGGTGCTGGACTATTCAAACATCGGTTAGGGCAAATTGCAGGTGCAGGTACCCGAGTGGTGCCTGTTATCACGGCCCCTTTTTTTCACAGCCCCTTGATCTCAACGAAACCAAGCATGTCTGGAACACATCCTCCATGCGCGGAACTTCTACTTTGCCCCACCAAGAGACATGTCGTTCAAAACAATCAACAAACAAATTCAAACCGGAAAGCTACCAAAAATATATGGGCTACACGGGGGAGGTGTTCAATCTTTTTTTGATCATCCAGGACATGCCCCAGACCCATCCGTCGGCGCCTCAACCCATAGAGCACTGGAATCACCCCCAATGCGGCCGGACACCGCGCCGGACACCGTGCGGCAAAACGGCTCTTGGGAACAGAGAGATCAGGGATCTCTGACCTGCCGTGGGGATGATGTCCGAGGACGCTCATTGTGGGACCATCCAAGAAGGGTAAGCCCACGTCAGCCAATCACCCCCAATCTGATTGGCTGTGCCATCTCCTCTGAAGTCGCAGGATTCATGAACTGACCATCGACAACCCACTACTACTCCGAACGGCTCATGGAGTTGATGATCATGTACAACCAGGTCAAAACCCTCTGGTCTGGCACCATCACGCCTCCAGTGCAGCAGCTGCGCCTTCTTCCCGCGAAGTTTCCGCAGGCGGAAAGCGGGCATCGCGGGTGTGGGGGCGGCCGCAGCCACGAGCGACTGGAGCAACATCTCAAGATAGCATGGCGGGTTTTCTGCTTGAAAAAGGAAAAACTCTGCCGAACTCTATGTCGGGCAAAACCCAGAAAAAGGGGCTGTGGTTGTGGAATCTATGGTAACTTGTGTTGTCAATTGAAGGGTTGCTGGGTTTGAGGTGTTAGCCCACCGTTGCCCGATGATCCCGTGAAGATTCATGGGGTGGCTGGTTTCCGCCGGAGCAAGCTCGCCAGTTGAGTTTCAGGGGATCCAGATGGACTTATTGGTGGACCATTTGGTGCTTCACACTTCGCTGACAAAGGTTCATCCTGCTTCCTCTGTCGGAACCCAAGTTTTGCTGTGGAGCCTGGCCAAGCTCTGCATGTCATTGGATTTGCACAAGTTCCCAGTACACCCCCGCAGGCGACCACATGGATTCTACGGCTGTCGTCATCGGGGTCAGTCCAAGATTCAGTTTTGGAGACGAGGTTTGTCAGCTCAAATTAAACAAGAACCGTTCGAAGTCATTGGAACCTATGTCCAACATCATGTTGACAGAATGAAATAATCTGTTAAGGATCTGCATTCCAACAAAATTTCACCTCCAACGTCGATCTTTTCCCCTGCATTGCACTTGATCGGAATCTGCATGCCCACATCTTTACCCAAAATTGAAGGACCCCTGACAACACTGCATGTGAAATTTTTGTTCTTGCAACAAGCAGCGGAAGAAAGAACAAGAAAAAAAGGAGAAGTGGTGGATGAGTGCGCGCCGAAATGCGAAGTACGATGATGAATATACTTGTGAATATTTTGTCGTTTGTGAGTGGAGTGGAGTGGAGTGGAGAGTGGAGAGTGGAGAGTGGAGAGTGGAGAGTGGAGAGTGGAGAGTGGAGAGTGGAGAGTGGAGTGTGGAGTGGAGAGTGGAGAGTGGAGAGTGGAGAGTGGAGAGTGGAGAGTGGAGAGTGGAGAGTGGAGAGTGGAGAGTGGAGAGTGGAGAGTGGAGTGGGGTGGAAGGGAGTGGAGCGGAGTGGAGTGGAGTGGGGTGGGGAGTGGAGTGG